CAGCCTGGGCAACAGAGTGAGACCAGAACCACACCTCTGGGTTCAGGAGCAGTGCTGAGTGGTCAGTCATGAGCCCTGTGCGCCCTCCACCCATAGAGGCCACCTGGAACTGAAGAGCACTAGAATTTGTGGCTGCAAGGGGGGACGTCATCCACTCAGCGTTCCACTCGCCACGCCCCTAGTCAGTGGCCATTAGGGTCTGTCATCACTGGGATTTTCACTTAACTGCTGATCCGTTTCCTCACTTGGCTTGGTCACTGGCAAAGGGACAGGGTAATTACTGGGGTTGGTCGGGCCCTTTTTAATTCTCTATGAGAAGATTAGAAACTGAATTCCAAAACTGAAGATAATTCAACCTTTCAGCTTTGTGGTTATGCTCTAAGTACAACGTATTCTGTTAGTAAGATTTTGAGACTTGATTCCAAAATGACCTAGCCTATTGTTTTCCTTATTTAATGAAAACCAAGAGAATAATTCAGCAGGCCAGTCAATCACATGCAGATATTGCAGTCAACGTGCTGCCCTTTTCCAGCCCCCCGACTCCCTATCGCTCAGGTCACCATAAAACTCCAGACGGGGCTGCAACCCCATTCTTAACACCTACAGCTATCACGGCCTTTTTTTCACTCTAACAAAAGGAATAAAAGCTGATGATGGTCCTGGCAGGGATATAGTTTTTTTATCCTCAGTGAGTCTGTGTTCCTGTGACAGAAAATGGCTGACTCTGCCCTATCTCCGAGGAGCGAATGTGCACATTAGCAAACCACCAGCATAGCTGCCTTCTCTCCGGGAGGCCACCACAGAAGAAACCAAGTTTGCATTGGCAACGAATGGAAAAATACCTCCTATGTGTATATGTACACATGTAGCCATCCGGGTATGAAATGGAGATGAGGATAGGGGAGGCATGGAGGAAGCAACAAAAGGGATGGGGGCAAAATGTGTGAGTCAAAGGACCTCTGACGGTGACTGTGATGCTGTGTATATACATGTCACCATGTGGATGTGCTTCTGTGCATGTGGGGAGTTTAGATCTGTAATGTGAGCGTATGAGAACCTCAAAGTACAGCACTAAATACATTCTCCGCATATTCAACAAGGGCACTGGTTCTCAAATTTGGCAGCACCTTGAAATCATCTGGGAAGCTTCAAACACTACTGATGCTTGGGCCCCACCCTGGAGGTTGTGATTCACTTGGTATAAATTACTGTGGTAGGCCAGGCGCAGTGGCTCAATGCCTGTAATCCCAGCATTTTGGGAGGCTGAGGCGGGTGGATCACCTGAGGTCAGGAGTTTGAAAACAGCCTGGCCAACAGGATGAAACCTCGTCACTACTAAAAATACAAAATTAGCCGGGCGTGGTGGCGGGCGCTTCTAATCCCAGCTACTTAGGAGGCTGAGTCAGGAGAATCGCTTGAACCCGGGAGGTGGAGGTTGCAATGAGCTGAGATCACACCACTGCACTCCAGCCTGGGCAACAAGGGCGAAACTCCGTCTTAAAAAAAAAAAAAAAAAAAATTACTGTGGTAGACAGAACAATGGCTCCCTAAAGATGTCCAGATCGTAGTCCCTGGTGTCTGTGAATATGTTAGGTTAAATGGCAAAGGAGCCATTAAGCTTGTAGAAGGAATACGGGGTGCTCATCAGCTGACCTCAAAATGGGGAAGTGATCCTGCCTGGATTATCTGGGTGGGCCCAATGCCATCACATGGGTCCTTGAAAGTAAAAGAGGGAGGCAGCAGTCAGAGGTAGAAGTGATGCCATATGAGAAGGACTCAACCTATTGTTGTCTCTGAAGACGGAGGAAGAGGTCATGGGCCAAGGCATGTGGCTGGACCTCTCAAAGATGGAAAATCAAAGACATGAATTCTCCCCTACATCGTCCAGAAGGAACAGCCACCCTGCCCATGCCTTTGTTTTAGCCCAGTGTGACTCACATCAAACTTCTGGCCCACAGAACTGTAAGACATTAAGAGTGCAAGTGTGTGTGTGTGTGTGTGTGTGTGTGTGTGTGTGTGTGTGTGTGGTGAGACAGAGTCTCGCTCGGTCACCCAAGGTGGAGCGCAGTGGTGTGAGCTCACTGCAACCTCTGCCTCCTGGGTTCAAGCCATTCTCCTGCCTCAGCCACCCGAGTAGCTGGGACTACAGGCACCCGCCACCACACCCGGCTAATTTTTGTATGTTTAGTAGAGGTGGGGTCTCAAACTCCTGACCTCAAATGATCCACCCACCTCAGCCTCCCAAAGTGCTGAGATTACAGGCGCGAGCCACTGCACCCAGACTTGCATTGTTTTAAGCCACGAAACTGGTGGTAATTTGTTACAACAGCAATAGAAAACTAACACACTTCAACCTGAGGAAGCTAATTTTACAAATCAAATTTTAAAAATGAAAACAACAACAACAACAAAAAACTAACACAGGTATGGCCTGGTCTCTCAGAGTTTTAAAAGCACCCCAGATGATTCTAATATGCAGCAAAGAATGATAATGACTAAACCAGAGGAAAGACAAGATAAAGATATGTGGCGTGATTGCCTTGTGCTGGACAAAGAAACGGTGCTTTCATCTGGGAACTTAGTAAATCATCCCACCAAATTACGCACCATCACTTGTTAGCCATCCACCCACAGGCACTGCAGCTTACCTGCACGTATATCACAATACATGATCATCAGTTTGGTGGCCAGAGCCCTTTCTAGTCTCACCCACTGAATAGGCTAAATTTCCTTGGGATGAGGAACAATTGCATACCAGATAGGCAGATTTTCTATAAAGCTTACTTTCCTTTTTTTTTTTTGAAATGGAGTCTCACTCTTTTGCCCAGGCTGGAGCGCAGTAGCACGATCTTGGCTCACTGCAACCTGTGCCTTTCGGGTTCAAGCAATTGTCCTGCCTCAGCCTCCCGAGTAACGGGGATTACAAGCACACACCACCATGCCCAGCTAGTTTTTTGGTATTTTTAGGAGAGACGGGGTTTCACCATGTTGGCCAGGCTGCCCTCGAACTCCTGACCTCGTGATCCACCCGCCTTGGCCTCCCAAAGTGCTGAGATTACAGGAATGAGACACCGCGCCCGGCCTATAAAGCTTACTTTCTTATCAATACTATCACTTAAGGAACTGACCAATAACTGAATTATATGCAAATACATAAATTGGCCTGTTCATGTTGGTACCATCAGGACAAGAACTAAGTTGTCCTCTCTGTGCTAAAACTATTAGAATTGTAAAGAGAAAAGGCTTCTCCATTGGGTTTAGTAACCTATTTATTTATGACATGATAAACAGATGGAATTAATTTATGACAGATAAATGGAACAGCACTGTGGGAATAAATTAACTTATTCTTCCCAAGGATGGAGAACAGAAGTGCCTGCTGTAGGATTCTGAGAAGTGCAGCCCTCTCCTCAGAGCGGGTGTTCATCTATCCCCAGGGCTTCGATGCTTGCTCATGCATGATGATAACTTCTCTTTCTTTTTGAGATGGAGTCTTGCTCTGTCACCCAGGCTGGAGTGCAATGGTGCAATCTCGGCTCATCACAACCTCCACGTCCTGGGTTCTAGCAATTCTCCTGCCTCAGCCTCCCGAGTAGCTGGGATTACAGGCGCCCACCACCACACCCGGCTAATTTTTCGTATTTTTAATAGAGATGGAGTTTCACCGTGTTGGCCAGGCTGGTCTCGAACTCCTGATCTTGTGATCCACCTGCCTTGGTCTCCCAAAGTGTTGGAATTACAGGCATGAGCCACTGCGCCCACCTGATAACCTTTCTTGAAAGCCATTCCATCATGGTAGTATTACTAAAAGCTAAAACAAGACATGGAATCTTTTACCTTTTCTTTTTCTCTTCCTACTTTGTCTTCTTTAGAGAGGAAGCTGGTTTAGCAGCAAAAGCAGTCACGTTAGAATCAGAAGACGTGAGCTGGAGTTTAGCGCTGTCACTCACAAATGATGTGGCCTCAGGGGGCCCCACAGCCACTCTGAGTTTTGCCTCTCACACATGAGGAGGGTGCCGCCTTCGTGATGTTGTGTGGAGATTAAATGAAATGACATAGATGAAAGGGCTTGGCGCATAGTGGAGGCTTTCCATAAATGCCAGCTTCACTGCCACTCAACGACTCCACGCTGTCACACGTCACCTCTACCCTGCAGCTGCTCCCATCTCTTCTCTCTGGCTCCGCCCTCCCCCTGAGCTCTGGTACGTCTCCCACTGCCAACCGGACACCTCCACTCGGATCTCTCGCCGGCATCTCTAATCAGACACATGCAAATCGGATTTACCATCTCACCCCCAAACCAGTGTTTCCTCTCAAGTTCCCTGACTTCGTCCCTAACAGTAAAATCACTGGCAATCCCGTGCACCCATATTTCTTCCCCATTCCCACTCCTACAACCTATCCAGGCCCTCCTCAAGCACAAGAGCCTTGCAGATGCCTCCACATCTTAAACTCTCTCCAATCCATCCTGCTTGCAGTTTGCAAATTCAGATTTTTTCCAACCAGACTTGTCACATCAAACACGGAACAAAGATATTCAAACCCTTTTCTGCCCTGAAGCCTGGTACACAAGATCGAAGAAGAGCAAACCCCACCGGGTGTGGGGATGACATGAGGCCCACACGGCCTCAGTGTACAAAGTGCTGAGCAATTTCGTATCACTGCCACATAAAAGAAAAGCTCTTGGGATGAGTGGGATCACAAAACACAGTATTGTTAAAAGTGGCTACTGAGAACAGAAAACTTTTTAACCAAATTTCTTTGCACAGTATTTAACAACTATAATCTAAATCTGCCACAACCCCCACTCCAATGCATTAAACTGTAACAATCATTGACATTAAACCACTTTACATGTGAGTATAATATGTGCTCACATATTATACATGTGAGTATAATATGTACATGAATGAGTATAATATTAAACTCATTCAACGAATGCTCAAGCCTTTAGCATCTATGTCAACGGAAAATCGGGTCAATCTCAGACTTATTCTTACCATTTTGTTCATCCAATTCATTCCCAATTTCCTGCCCCATTTGTTTTTGGCGACTTATGATGGAAGAAAGGGCATCAAGGCCTGCATCCTGTTCTGAAAGAAAAAAGAAAAACAACTAACTAGAAACTAGAAGAAAACAACTTAAAATCCATAAGTATACCCAGGCATGTAACACAACTTAATATATAAATCAGTCAGGAAAAAAGAGATAAAAGAGTTAACATTATTTGAACAAAATTTAAAAATTAAACACCTACCTGACACCTTAAACTGCTTTCCAAAAGAATTAAGGTTTTAAATATGAAAAACAAAGATTTGGAAACATGAACATTTAAACTTTCTGACACTTAATATATAAAGAGCATGTACAAATCAATAAGAAAAAGACTAAATATCCCAATTTTTATTTATTATTATTTTTTGAGACGGAGTCTCTCTCTGTCGCCCAGGCTGGAGTGCAGTGGCGTGATCTTGGCTCACTGCAAGCTCCGCCTCCCGGGTTCACACCATTCTCCTGCCTCAGCTCCCCAAGTAGCTGGGACTATAGGCACCCGCCACCGCGCCCGGCTAATTTTTTGTATTTTTAGTAGAGACGGGGTTTCACCGTGGTCTCAATCTCCTGACCTCATGATCCACCTGCCTCGGCCTCCCAAAGTGCTGGGATTACAGGCGTGAGCCACAGTGCCCAGCATATCCCAATTTTTTTAATCAGCAGAGGATACAGGCAAGAACTTCATAATAAAAAAGAAAATGAATAAATAAAAGTTTTGAAATTGTTACTAATTTTTTTTTTTTTTTTTTGAGAGGGAGTCTCGCTCTGTCGCCCAGGCTGGAGTGCAGTGGCCGGATCTCAGCTCACTGCAAGCTCCGCCTCCCGGGTTTACAGCATTCTCCTGCCTCAGCCTCTCGAGTAGCTGGGACTACAGGCGCCCACCACCTCGCCCGGCTAGATTTTTGTATTTTTTAGTAGAGATGGGGTTTCACCGGGTTAGCCAGGATGGTCTCGATCTCCTGACTTCGTGATCCGCCCGTCTCGGCCTCCCAAAGTGCTGGGATTACAGGCTTGAGCCACCGCGCCCGGCCGAAATTGTTACTAATTTTTTAAAAAAACAAATAAAAAACAACTTCCTTTGGCTTATCAGATTTATAAGGATTAGAAAGAATGACAATACCTAAGCTTAATTAAATTGTGACTATCTAGAAGCTCCCAAGTACTACATAATAGGTGAATAAGTTTTACTGATGGCCGTATTTCTCAAGTGTAGACTGTGACCACCTTTTTACCTGCCAATTCTAAGTCTAGGAATGTATGTAAGAAAACATTCAGGTAGCATGCAATGATAGATATACAAGGATATTCCCTGAAACATTTGTTTCCTGTGCCAGGTATCAACTTAGTGCCTCTCAGCTCCAAATTCACTCTTTTTGGCTGTTCTATGAAAAGGAACAAGCTGGGCACAGTGGCTCATGTAATCCCAGACACTTTGGGAAGCCAAGGCAGGAGGTTCACTTGAAGCCAGGAGTTCAAAACCATCCTGGGTCAAAAGTAAGACCTCACCTCTATAAAATTTTCTTAAAATAATTAGCCAGGCAGCTGGGCGTGGTGGCTCATGCCTGTAATCCCAGCACTTTGGGAGGCCGAGGTGGGCAGATCACGAGCTCAGGAGATCGAGACCAACCTGGCTAACACAGTGAAACCCCGTCTCTACTAAAAATACAAAAAAAATTAGCCGGGCCTGGTGGCAGGCGCCTGTAGTCCCAGATACTGGGGAGGCTGAGGCAGGAGAATGGCGTGAACCCAGGAGGCGGAGCTTGCGGTGAGCTGAGATTACACCACTGCACTCCAGCCTGGGTGAGAGAGTGAGACTCCATCTCAAAAATAAATAAATAAATAAATTAATTAATTAGACAGGTACGACGGCATGTACTTGTAGTGTCAGCTACTTGGGAGGCTGAGGTGAGAGGACTGGTTGATCATCCAGGAGTTCGAGGCTGTAGTGAGCCATGATCACGCCACTGCACCCCAGCCTGGGTGATAGAGGGAGGCTCTGTCTCTACATAAAAAATAAAAATAATTTTAAAAAATTTTTAAAAAGAAAATGAACCAAGGCCCTTTGAAGATTTTTTCCTTTGTCAGAGTTTTTGCTTTCTGGCTCCAGCCCGCTCTCTTGGTAGGCTCCTTTAGCAACTACAGCTCCTTCAGCGCCTGGCCAGCAACACCCAGAACCAGCAACTTCTCCCAGCACACACCCTCCTGGGGCAGGTTTATAACAGGAGCGCCTCCATGGAGGTTCTTCCCCATGAAGAGTTGCCCCCAGCATCCCAGAGGGCAGATCTCCAGGAGGTTCTGATAGCAGGACACCACAGGGGCTTCTGTGAAATTCAGGGACCCTCAGCTGAGCCCTCTCTCAGCCCTGGGGGCCTGGGGCTCCTCCCTGGACACTCTGTCTCAGCCTGAGACTTGGTGACTACACCTTATCCCTGCTAGTTCTGTATTCTTCAGAGTTATTCTGACCTCTTGTTAGCTAATACCTCATTACTCTAATCTCTGTTACAGTTAACAATTTACATTCAACTTTCCCTGTCAAGTTTCTCTCTCCCGATCAGACCCAGAGTGATATATTTATAACAGTGAAAAATTAGAAAGTACCTAAATGCCCAACAGAGATTTGTTTAAAAATTTATAGTATATCCATATAGTAAAACACTATACAGCCATTGAAAATCACATCGTTTATATATATTTTGATGTTGAAAGAAGTTCATATGTTCTTAAGTAGAAAAGCAGGAAGCTGGGCACAATGGCTCATGCCTGCAATCCCAGCACTTTAGGGGGCTGAAGCGGGCAGATCACTTGAGCCCAGGAGTTTGAGACCAGACTGGGCAACAATGTCCATCTCTACTGAAAATACAAAAATTATCTGGGTGTGGTGACGCGTGCCTATAGTCCCCGCTACTCAGAGACGGATGGATCACTTGAGCGTGGGAGGTAGAGGTCACAGTGAGCCGAGATCGCGCCACTGCACTCCAGCCTGGGTAACAGAGTGAGAACCTGTCTCAAAAAAAAGAAAAAAAAGATACAAAACAAAGTATAGTAAAACAGCTTTTGTTTTAAAAATGAAAATGTATTACTCTGAAACTTTTTGCAAATTTAAAGAGCAAAGTGAGTTTTTGGAAATTTAAAGAAAAAGGTGAGTTTAACTCAAGTCATTCAAGATCTTTTCTTTATAATTTAATATGTATTTTTTTAACTGAGGGTCTCGGTCATCTCTTTGTAAAAATTTTCTTCTTCTAATTTCAGGTGCTTTGAGAACACTGTGAAGCTCAGTGTAATGACTCTTGTTCACCACGCAACACGCCACATGAAGGTAACATTATACCCCTCGCAGCTTCATTTGTCTACAGGGTTTTTGAAATGACTGTTTCACATAAAGGCATATCCACAAAAGCAGAAATCACAAAGGTCTTACTCAAGGTCGCATTAACATTTACTTATATTTTTTTCCAAGTCTTTTTATGGAATTAAACCATTAAACTTAGCTCTTTAATTCATCTGGAATTTATTTAAACTAACGGTGTGAGGTAAGAACCCCTTCGTGACATTGTTTGACACTCTGAACTTTTTTTAACTATACAAATAACCTGCCGTCTTTAGGGATCATTCAAAAGGACCATTTTATAGTAAAATCACTTTATAATGAGGTCCTCTTGGTCTTTAATAACAACCTCTTGGATGGCCTCCAAGATAAATCCATCCTCAACCAAGTGCTCCTTTAGGATGACTGATGTTATAGTAAAATTCTAAATGCATCTGATGAATAATCTATATATATAGGACTGAGAGTCAAGTGTCAATGTGGATTAAAAGATAAAACCATTTAAAAAGAGGAAAGGAGATTCCTCCAGTTTCCATTAGGAAATGAGTCATTAAACTCCTAAAATTGCTTTATTTAGTAGAGACATAGATTATGAATGAAAAATACACTAATTGCACTCTTTAATCTCAAACTGGACTCATTATCTGACTTAGCAACCTGATGATCATCTGCTACACAGGAGAAAGAGAGCTGAAAGTTCGGTTCCACTCTAAATAATTTTTATAAGCTTAGCAATTCTCTCCACATCTTTAAGTGCTGCAATAAATTTTCATTTCACAATCCAAAGACACAGAAGATTCAGATCATCAAGATGCTGCAGAGGTAATAATAATCACTTTCACAACCTGGGCTTCCCCAAGTCCGGAAGAGGCATTTCTAACGGGAGCTGGTATGGCAATCTTGGAGACAAGGATCAAAACACAATGCAGCTGACTGTAAAAACATAAATAATCAAGAACCATACATGGTGATGGTGGTGTGCGCCTGTGGTCTCAGCTATTCGGGAAGCTAAGACAGGAGGACTGCTTGAGCCCAGAAGTTCAAGTCCAGCCTGGGCAATACAGCAAGATGCCTGTTTCAAAAAGAAAAAAAGAAGAAGAAACCATACCACGTAGTTTCTTTTTTTCTTTTTTTTTGAGACAGAGTTTCGCTCCTGTTGCCCAGGCTGGAGTACAATAGCATGATCTCGGCTCACTGTAAGCTCCACCTTCCAGGTTCAAGCAATTCTCCTGTCTCAGTCTCCCTGGTGGCTGGGATTACAGGCGTCCGCCACCACGCCTAGCAAATTTTTGTATTTTTAGTAGAGACGAGGTTTTGTCATGTTGGCCAGGCTGGTCTCGAACTCCTGACCTCAGGTGATCCACCCGCCTCGGCCTCCCAAAGTGCTGGGATTACAGGTGTGAGCCACCACGCCCGGCCACCATGTAGTTTCTTACCAACAAAACTACCATCATGTCATAACTGCTAAAATCTGCCCTGCTCTTTCACATAATCCAAGTCACTATGATATCACAAGAGGATACTCTATTAGTCATTATTCTATTTTACAATGATTTGAATGTTTAAAAATGATGGATCATTGTTACAGATAGAATAATATCCCCCATGTCTAAGATGTCCACGTCCTAATCCCTGGATCCTATGAATATATCCCCTCACATGGCAAAAGGGACTTTGCAGATGTAATTAAGGTTAAAGAATCTGAGATGGGGGAGT